CAGTGAGAAGAGGAGCAGGAAAGAGGGTGAAATTCAGAGTTTGCACACTCTAAATGTCTGCCCTAACTTGAAGGATGCAAATGCAGTCAGCTTTGAATGAATGAAGAAGGAATCTGGAGGAATGGCCCTTAGCTCCCCATTCATTCAGGACAACTCCAGTACTTTGAATAGTTCTGCACAAATATTTTTGCTTACAGCCCCTGCCTGACACCTTTGTGTCAGAGGGTTATTTCTTAGGGAGCAAATCTGGAAGGCACATTTACTCTGAGATCACCTCAGTGCTTCCCTCAAATCTGGGAAGCACCACTGCCACCGGGGAGTGCTCAGTGCTCTCTTCCTCATTTCCCAACCCCCTCACCCCCCCCTTTTTTTTTTTTTGGCATCATGAAATCAGAGTATTTACAGAAAAGCTTGTTCTTTTCCCTCTTCTTTGAAAGAAGGAGAGAGGAAGAATGTTTAGTAAACATGGATTAGGGAAGTGATTATAAAAATGCAAATTATTTTTCATAATACCAAATCATTTAAATAACCCCATACAGTCTCTCTTCAAGGGTGGGCACATTGTGTACTTCTTATTACTCATTACTCAGCCTGATGATTTGCCTCAGGATTAGCTGATACTAAAGTGCACTTTTTTTTTCTTCTCCCCCCCCCTCCCCCCCCGTTTCTGTAGATTATTCTAATTCATTTCATAATTTCCTTTTTCTCTGGCTGAAGCTAACTGAAGCCACATAATAGCTGACCCTATGGAAATAATACTGAATTTTCCTGCAGGATTCAGACACCTGCTAACAGGATCTTCTGAAGGAGGCTTATTGTATTTGCAAAGGGGCTTGTAGCACATTGTCTGTTTAAAATTGGTTTCATTTGCACTGGAGAATTGTAATGTATAAATAGTCTAAACATTCTGTAGCTTGCAGAAATGATCCGAATGCTTCTTGCTCCTCTAGTCAATGAAAACCAGGCTCTTTGGCAGCAAGTAGAGAACCACTTCAAATGGAAATGAAACAGAATTTAATAAGAACACATTATTTAGAATAATATACATATGTACATTTTTATACTGTAACTGCTTTACAGATCAGTTTCTAAGCTGGTAAATTAAAAGATACTGTTACATTGAAAGAGTTAAAAGAATGACTTTATTTTAAACTTTGAATGTCTTTTGCAATCTGACATATTGCATCTATTACTATCTATTACTTTTCATGGAGACCTTCTCTTGTAAAAATCTAGCCCAGTGAAAATCTTCCTTGCACTTTTTTTTTTTTTCTTTCAATTTTTTAAAATAAAACAAGCATGGGAGGCATTGTGGGCCTCTATGTCTCTCTGTGGGTCCTCTGTGTCTCTCCCACCCACTATTATAATAAAATGTATAGGCTTTATACTATGATTTTTAAGCTGTTTGACTTTTTGTATCCATAAATAAGGAAGAAAAAAAAAAAAAGAATGAAAAAGAGACATGCAAGAAACTATGACTTAAACAGAAGTAAAAGAAAAAAAAAAAGACAATTCAGAGCACCCAAAGTCTGAAGATAAGCTGCTATTTCAAGAAAAGCTGGTGCAAGCCTTTGGTATTTTTAGAGTTGTGGGCACTTCTTTTCAATATATAACAAAGAAAATTAAGTCCATTTTGTATTTTCAGATGCTTTGGTTTCCTGTTCCTGCATCTTCATATACATCTAGGAAAGAACAGATATAACAATAGTTGTACACAATGCTTCCTTTTTTTTTTTTTTTGTTAAAAAAGAACACTGTTGCAAACATATACGCAAACCAGCAATGCTAGACACAAAATAAAAAACACTTCTTTAGCATGAAAGATAGCTCCAAGGGCATATCTGTAACACACTGATATTTGGCTGAATTTTTAGTATGCATAAGATCTCCAGTTTTGAAAGATATAATTAGCGGCAAGACAGGTCTGAGCCATACATAAATGATGCCTTCCTGGCTAATATGGCACACCAGAATGCTGCCTTTTCAGTACAAATATTTCAAGCTGTTTGTATGTTATCAACAATTTTGCACTGAGCACCTGCTAAAGAGTAACAGTAATGATAGGCTGTCGGTGTACACAGCACAAACCCCATGCCAAAATGTCTGGCGAAGGTTTACATCCTCATTGCTCTTCAGCAGATGGCAGAGCAGAAATCTGTGCCATGGCAATGCTTGATCTGAGAGAAACAGTGCATATGAGAGGAGAGGGAGATGATGTAGATTTATCTTCATTTGAAGTGAAAATGCTACCTAAGTTACAATTTCCTCTGTCAGAAGAGTTTTGAGCTGTCAATGCTTATGAACAAGAACTGGCTAAACTTCTTGCTCATTAGCTTTTGTAGCCATTTTCTAATTTATTTTTATTTTTTTAATATGTGGAAAAAGTCAATTGTCCTCTTTGACAAAGGATTTATATTTAGTTTAAAAAACGTGCAAGGATGATAAAAAAAAATCAGTTTAGAGGAGTGTTTTTAATGAAATGATTGAATGTGCTACAGCCTTGTAACATCCTATGACAGTCTATCACAGAGATGGGGCATGGGATTTTCCTCAAATCCATATCTGATGTTTCCACTGGGATTCCTTGAGGAAGGAGGCAAATCTGCAAAAGACTGGTGCACTCAACAGCTAGTATCACCATAAGAACATAAAAATGACAACCCAGCTATCATCCCAGGTCTATTCTTTTGACCGCAATTAGATTTTCAGTCCCTCAGTTCAGCCCCAGGGGAGTTTAAGAGTTTTATTACTTTTCAGCAGTATTCTTACCTTTGAAGAGCTGGGGCATGGCTGAACTTTTTGCAGTTATTTAGAGCTCATTAGAGCTCAGAGGCATAGGTGCATGTGTGTGTGACTGAATGAAAAGGCTGATAAAAGCATAACAAAAAGTGTTAGTGAAAAGCTATTCTCAGAGTGTTATGTGTTGGTTAGTCTGAGAATTTGCCAGTACTGTAGCTGGGATTTATACAAAAAGAGATAGAAAATCAACTGACACTGCAGATTTTAGGTTCAAAGAGAGGATTTGAAAGATTCTCAGACAGTAAATCTGGGCATTAAACTATGAAATAATGTGTTTTCTACTTATTTTTCCTTGCCTTTTAGTTCTAATAAATTTTACAGCACTTCTAGTCAGGACCTCAGGGAATATGAGCAGAATGGTCACTTTCCCAGCAAACCAATTTGGCTGCCTTAACATCTATTCTTTTGCTTTTCACAAAGAGAAATTCCTGTCACAGGCAAAGTGCAGGCAAATCCTGTATCACGCTTCCCATGAGCATTGCTGGTTACTGTACAGAAGCCTGCATACTGAGTTCATGGAACCCATCGATAGGCAAATCACTACTTTGCACTACAGGAGTCTGAAATTACTTCCCCAGCTCCATTTCCAATTTTGTGATGTTTTACTTTTCATCATACTCAGTGCTGAAGCATCCTGCTGAAAATACAAGTATTAATTGTTCCAATTTATTCACTAAGAGTGCTCCTTCACTGCAGGTCAGGAATTGGAAAATTCGTCTTTCTAAGACAGTCTTTCAAAGCTGAGTCATTTACCCTTTATCATATTTAGCAGAACCTATCCTGGTCTTTTTAGTGGAAATGTTGCTCCTATGTTTCTTTTTAAAAATATTGTTAAATGAAGAGAACAGCAAAATGTGGTTATACAAACAAGTCCTTTACAGCTACAGAATTCATTTTGTGAAGCTTGAGTTGGAATATGAACTGGCACAAAGTTTAAGTTATCTTTACTTTGAACGCATTCTTTTAGTAGAGTCATACATCAGCGAGAAAGCTGAGAAGGGAGACATACAAGAGTAAGAAGAAAAAGTACTTTGTGATTGCTATTTCTTACATCTGGTCTAAAAAATCATCTTGATTCAAAGCGAGTAACTCCAAACAAAGTATAAACGTCAGTAGTAATTCGTTATTCGTTTCTCGCTAATCAGCTTGCTTTCACAAGCACGGTTGCATGTTTGCATACATAATTTAGATGCACAGTTGAAATTGTAACCTGCACAAAATTTTTAGTAGTGCAAGTACTGAATGGTAATGCAGCCACACAAGCATTGTGATTACTCAGCCAACTGATTAGTATATTTGCAAGAATGAGTATTTTCCATTTCAAGAATAAAAGAAATGTAACACAGTAAAAAATATGGAAAATGTGATAAAACAGGCTTGTTACCAAATAAAGTCTTGTGAGCTGTTCTTAATTTGTAAGACTGCCAATATTCAGAGCAGATTTGTGGTAGCTACACTGCCATGACAAAAACTTTACAGTGTATTCACTACTCTTATGCCAAGAGGTACGATGCAGTAGGTTTGAATAAAAACAGGACTAGCATCCCCTAGCTGGTAATTAACTCAGCAAAGGCATTTTCCTGGACTTCCAGGCCATGGTACTGCAGAACAATACTTATTTTGCTCTAAAAAATTAGTTAAAATCAGTTAATTAGTTAAGACATCAGCTACTCAGATAATGGAGCATTGCCTGTCAGTACTTCAGTGACCATTGCAAACAACCCTTGGTCATTGACCACCTGGCCAGTTTCAACAGTGCAAAAATACCCTAACTCTTCTTGGCACATGACTGGCATGTCTGGAAGCCGGGCTGCCAATTAAACTGCCTCAATTAAAGATGTAACCTGCTCAGTGGGAAATGCTGAGATCTCAGTGCTGTCAAACTGTAGCTACCCTCTTAAAGCATTTTGGAATTTCCCCTTGAAATTGTGTTTAAAGGTCTTAGCTTTTGTTCTTCATGCTTCGATAAATGTGGCATGATGAAATGGAAGGTTGGAGTCTGGAGGTAAAGTGGAAGTTGTATAGGAATTGTGTAGGATTGTATAGGAAATGGTGGAAGAACTGATGTAGCTCACATCTTTTTGCTTCCTTACCCCTTTCACTGGAATCAAACACCAACCACCAACATGCGAATTGTTCTGTCTCAAACATATGCAGAAGTCCTTGTCTTTGAGCTACCACGAGTGCACACAGGCTTTAACTTACTGTTGATGGTCCTGCTGCTGCTGCTGCTGCTCGGGAATATGCTGAATAACTTCATAAACTGTATTAAGCATATCCTGGCCTGGGACAGTGGCAGGGCCAGGAACAGATTGACTTGAAACCTAAAAGTAGCAAAGAGTGTTTCTGCTGTAATTACAAATGGGAAAAGGTTCAACAGAAATGAAACTGGTAATGTAACTTCTCTCTCTCTCTCACACTTTAACAACAGATCATCCCTTCTCCATCAACATTTTGGGCATGGATTTAACAATTTATTAGATCACATTTAATTCTGGGTAAATTTTCGTCATGTTTATAGTAATGTAAACAAAAGTCAGTTAAGATCTAAGAAGATTTAGAATGCAGCTTTTGCATTTAATATAGCAACTATTTTATATTACTATTCCACAAGTCAAGGAAGGAAAATTTAATAACAGAAGATAGAAGTAGGAGAATAGATAGTAAAAAATTAGAAAATATTTAGGGAAAAGGCTCAGTATAGAACTCCCACCATCATGTTAAAGTGAGAGAAATTCTCTCTAACTGTGAGAAATTTTCATTTACCATGACTCATACCTAGACTCATAATCCATAAGGATTTCTTTCCATATCCAACTTCCCATTCTTCATTATTTCCAATTTCTTATTTTTCCATTTTTTTGCTGACTAAAATGAATCAGCGGATCAAATGCTGACTATATCTGCAATGTCACAAATCTGAGTAGCTAAACCAGTGGAGCTTTTCCTGTTTCCTGAAATTGTGCTGCAGATTATAATGGATATAAGTACCTGTAAATCCACTCTGCTGTGGTCACCTCTCCTCCCTGACTTACTAAGGCTCTGATTCTGCAAGATACTTAAGCAGTGATCTGACTTTGTGATACGATCAGCCCTAGGGATATCAGAGGCTACTCAGGGCTGGTATGATTTAGGTTCTGAATTCTGTGTTTGCTAAGCCTCTTATTGTCACAAGCATTCACAGACCCAGTTTGGCCCCTCCATTTTCTAAAAGCTTTCTATTGCTGGTGCTGTAAAATTCTGTTCTTACACTGACTTTTACTATAGCAGTCTAGCTCTTCAGTGCCTATGTCAACCGTCTAATCCCAACAGAGAAAAGAGTTTATTACCTGTGGTTGTTTTTGTAATACATCATGTATGGAGAGAAATAATTATAAAAACAAAATAGCCTTGACTATCGATGAGCCCCTACATGATCATGTTTAAGAGCTGTCCCTTACCTGACCATCCTGATGCTTTCCAAATGAACAAGACTACTGCCAGAAATTTTCCCTAACAAACGGAAAGTTCTTGTACTTCCTTCAAGTTTCAGACTGTTGTCCCTAAATTCTGTAGGCTGATTTCTTCGTTTTCTTTGTCATTTTGCTAGAATCACTGAACCACAGGATCATAGAATGCCTTGTGTTGGAAGGAACCTTAAAGACCACCCAGTTCCAACCCCCTGCCATGGGCAGGGACACCTCCCACCAGACCAGGTTGCTCAAAGCCCCATCCAGCCTGGCCTTGAACACTTCCAGGGATGGGGCATCCACAGCATCTCTGGGCTGCCTGTGCCAGTGCCTCACCACCCTCAGAGTAAAGAACGTCCTCCTAGTATCTAATCTAAATCTCCCCTCTTTTAGTTTAAAAGCATTCCCTCTTGTCCCATCATTATCTGCTCAAGTAAAAGCTTGTTCATGTTTTTTATAAGCCTGCTTTAAGTAAAGAAAAGCTGCAATAAGGTCACCCAGGAGCTTTCTCTTCTTCAGGCTGAACAGCCCCAGCTCTTTCAGGCTGTCTTCATCGGAGAGGTGCTCCAGCCTTCTGATCATCTTCATGACCCTTCTCTGGTCCCCCTTTAACAGCCCCACACCCTTCTTGTTCTGGGGGTCCCAGACCTGGATGCAGCAGTCCATGTGAGGTCTCACAAGGGCAGAGCAGAGGGGGACAATCACCTCTGTCTCCTGCTGGCCACTCCTCTCTTCATGCAGCCCAGCGCACAGTTGGCCTTCTGGGCTGCAAGCACACACTGCTGGCTCATATTGAGCTTCTCGTCCACCAGAACCCCCAAGTCCTTCTCTGTAGGACTGCTCTCAATGAGTTCTTCTCCCAGTCTCCTCATTCACTTGGGATTGCCCCAACCCAGGTGCAGCACCTTGTACTTGGTCTTGTTGAACTTCAGCAGGTTCACTTGGGCCTATTTTTCTAGCTTATCCATCTTACACCACAGCAGAATAATGGTCAATAATAGTATCTGCACAGTCACAGTGCAAAGAAATAGCATACGTAGTAGAGATTTTTTCTGCCAGCAAAATGCTTGTGCTTAAGTCCTCCCTTGCAATACATGAAACTATTTTTACCAACAATACTTTAAATATCTCTTGAGGCTTTTCTGCACTGTCAAAGTTGTATGTTGTGTGAGCAACAATACAGAGACAAGGGAGAATGGTTCACTATTACTCATCTACCCAACACTAGTGATATTCTTTTACCATAGGGTAACTGAACTGACATTGTTCCATGTAGAGTTTGGTTAGTTCCCTCCTGCACCATGATGATACATGTATTGAACTGGAAACTTAGTAAAGAAAGAGAAAGCATTGAGTAAACAATAGTTACGAAAAGGGTGTCATAAAAGCAACTATGAAAACCAACAGAAATGAACTGGCAAAAGGATTCTAGTGCTGACATTTAGTACTCCTAAAGAAATAGAAAAAAAAATCAGTTTGCAACATAAAGTCACATACCCTAGAACCACTGGCATGATCAGGAATAGCAACAAATTCATAGATCCCAAAATCATCCAATGCACTTTCATGTCCTGAAGTTAAAATGAACAAACATGAAAAACATGTCAAGATGTAATATGAATCCAGAATAGACAGTTTAAATATGGATGGGAAAACTCATTTGGCCTAATTTCAAAACAAAACCAAAACAACAAACAGCTGAATATTGGATGTTTGGTCTACTTTAAACCACTTTAAACCACTGAGCTGGCATGGAGCCAGGCAGGGCAGCTGCACCACCAGTGTGCACACTGCTTGGTGATCCCCAGGGCCTCGGACCAAGAGCAGAGCCTCCAGCTGACCTCAGGTATCTGCCTGAGCACAGCTCTTGTCCAGTGGAGTTCTATGATACAAGCCCAATTATAATATTTCATTATGATCTCAAGATTGTGGTATTGCTTGGTGCCATCAGCATTCAGAAGTTTAGCTTTAATTTACCTGAACAGCTTGAGTTCAAGCCAGCAGGATGCATACTGGTGTGAACTCTACACATGAGTTAAACCCATGCTGACCTGTTCTCCTTTTGCTTTTATCCTAAGAAAGCTAAAATAGAGGTGTACAGCCCAAGCTAAATGTAGTTCCCTTCCTTTCCTTCTTTCTTTTTGTACATAGAGATGCTATTTTTCAGTAAGAATGGATTTGACCTTATGCTCACACTTCTTTCATTAGCATTACCTGAAAACGTCTGTGCCTTTTTGTAATCAGCCTCTGGCCTAAAAAAACATAAACACGCTTTTTAATTTGATGTCACAAGCCAAGGAGAGAAAATTAATATGAAAAAGTGTAATTCTTGTAATGGAGTGGATTTCAAAACCAAAAAAATTTTTTTTTTTGTACCTGCTCTGCAGCTTCTGTCGTATCACTGAAAAGAAGAGAAAACAGAAAAAATCATTCTTTATGTTCTAATATTTCAGAAGAATAGCCAGAACATGCTTAACTTTTACATACCTTTATGTGGCTGATACCTTTTCCATACGAACAGAAAGACCATAACTAGGATCAAAAATAATGAAATTCCAGTTATTACTGCAAGAGATGACAAAGATTTTCCTTTCTGGGCCAGCTTTTCCAATCCTGTATCAAAGAAGATGGGTACCACATTTAGTCTCCTGTTCTGTCCAAAGTGATATTCCAACAATGAAAAATGCATCTTTATAAATTCATAAAAAGCTAGTAAATAGGTATAATAGATATAAATTTTAGGTTCCTGTGAATTGGTAACGATTCCCCACAAATCATCTAAACTGGGAAAGGAATTACATGCATACCAGAAAAGAGTCCAGAAAAGAATGGTACCTAGAGCTAAATGAAGGCCTGTCAACATAATCCAGGAATTAGAACATCACAAAAAGTAAATGAATGTCTCTTAGTCACAGAGACTCTGAACTACAAAGAAAACAGGCAGCAGAACCTGTAGGTACTCAGGAAATCATGGGTGAACCAGGAGCAAGGACCAGGTCTCCACAGTGATTCCATCACCGTGGATTAACAGCAAACCCTCTCCTCTGCAGGTTGTTGTTATAGGGTATGGATTTCCACTCTGCCAGGCCAACAGACATGTCAAACAAATCACGAGGTGAGATAGTTTTTCCTTCTTCTAATAAAAATGCAGTCAGCTGGTTGTGTTTGTGTCAGACTGTGTTAGGAAACAGCAGGAGACTATCATGCTTTCAAAGCACTCTATTTGCAAGCCAAGACTGGAACGTGGTAGCTTCCAAAACTGACTTTCCAAAATGCAATGAATGCCATCCTGTCCCACACGGGAGTCCTGAAGGGACAGCAGGGTGTGTTTAGAGTCAGCAGAGATGCGACAATTTCACATACACACAATTATATGCCTCCCTGGTATATTTTACTGTCTGATAGAGCAGCCTGCATTTAGCTAGATGGTAGGGGAGATCCTCCCTCCTGGCACTGCAGCAGACAGAAGGCAACAAACTGCCTCATTTCTAGAGCTAGGGGGTGAGGTATCTGACTGTGCATGGCTCTTGGGCAGGGGAGCTCTACGATAAAATTGTGCACACCTCAGAAATTTGTAAAGTAGCTGTGGGCTGCACAGCATTTGAGTTGGCATTCAGACATCTGTGTCAGAGCCACCTCAATGGCATGTGGTGTGTCAGATGTGTTGCATCTTCTCATGGGGAGCATAAATGAGTATCTTTCCCTCTGCTTTGGTGTTTGGCTTTCAGTGGATCAGCACAGGTTCCTGTTCATATCAAAGTGCCTACAAAGTGCTGCTGTTCCTCTCCCTGTAGGTTATTAGGTCTTTGTGAATGGCTGGAGCCAGCACCTTGTATCTAACCAGCAGTCCTTGTGTTGTGTACATTTTCTACTTCATGCATGAAAAGATAATACGCTGGTCACCAGCACAACTGCTATTTGTCTCTCAGGTTGTCTGCCCTTACTTAAATAAATAAAATGAAATGTTTCATAAAGTGCAAATATCACAAAGGTAGTGGTGTGCAGGCAACAACACTGCAGAAACCATGTTTGATAGTGCCAAAGTTTGATTGACTTTGCTAATAGAATAAAGAATTATAATTACGGTGATCAAGCAAGCAATTCCTAGACTGAAAACTATCGGGTGAAAACGGAGAGTAGCTGGGGAAAAAATAAACCAGTGCAGATTATGTATAGCTGGAGTAGCACAGACTCAATGCTTTATGACAACTGATGGCTTCATCCATCCCACACTTGGGGTTGTTCAATATGCAGGAGACTGTGGGATAATTTTTGCTAATATGGCATTGCTAGCTCATTGAAGGCAGAAGACAAAATCGTCCAGGGGGCTTGCTGTGGGACCAAAGGTTAAGACAACAATATCTGTAACTCAACACAACTGCCCTCCTATCGTAGGGCTGCATACACCTCTCTTTCCCTCTGTTTATTCTTCATCTGCAACCCCTTGATATTGATACTTCTTTCAAGTAGTTTGTGCTGGATGGGAGGGAAATCATCCCCCCTGTAGGAGCTGCATAGTAGGAGGGACTAACTGAACTACTGGAGTTTTTTATAAAGGTTTTTACATCACTGACAGTCTGGTTATTTATAAAATAACCAGAATCTAATCAGAATCTAATAAATTATGTTTGCTTGTATTCATGCCTATATAGATACATGGGATTTCTTTCCTTTTTGGAGATACACATTAGCAGAACTTTTCCAGCAATATTTACTGATACAGCACAAGCAGAATATATACAATTAAATACACAAAAATATGTTGAAAACACCTACATAGAACTTGCAAAGACAGGAATTTGAAAGTTTGGAAATGCCAAGCATAGTTGCTTGTGCAGTCATAATTCCCACCTCTTGCTCTGAATGGTGTAGAATTTGTTAAATTAGAAGCCATGTCACAGTCCATACATGTGAATTAATGCTGTGTATTTGCCAGTGCCAGCTTTATTAACACAACTCAAATGTGCATTATTTAGCTGGATGCATTTCCACCTATGAACTCCTGTACTGCCTGTACAGCATCTACTATACATTACATATGTGTACATATCTACAGCATCTACTCACATTACATAACTCACATTACATAACTCACTGCCATTGTGCTGGCTTTGGGTGCACTGAGACATTTTGGCTATTGCATGGATGAAATGTGTGGATTTCAAACAAGATGCATCCCAAACATTCAGGAAAATAAATCTCTGCAAATTCACCATTTATTTTTTTTTTATTTCAATGTACCTCTTTCATCAAGAAACAAACAAACAAACAAAAAAAAAGAACTTGGAAAGACAGATGAGTCCTTAAAAATCCTTTTTAAAAATAATTATTTTAAATTTAGACTCAATAAATCTCATATCCACAAGCACATTTGTGCAGAAAACAAAGAAGCGGTCTTTGCATGCATTTAACACTCAAACTGACTCAGTTTGAGGAGTGAGAAATGACTTGTGTACATAATGAGATAGATTCTATTATTTTAAAACCTAGCTAGTCTTGGCCAAAAACAGACTGTGGTTAGTGCACTTTTTGATATAATTGTAATTTATTAATAAAATTGTTAATGATTTTTTGCATTAATTAGGCATCTGTTACTAGTGCTGTAGAGGTGAGTTTCAATCTGAAACTAAGGTTGGATTGCAAACTCTTCCAAGCCATTGATGTTCCTATTGCTGCTTAAATGGCATTTCCAGTGTTTTGAAAGGCACAGTCCAAGCTCTGTACCTAGGATTATAGGAAGAGGGAAAAGGCACATGGAAGAGAATTCATAGTATTTGTTTAATCCTATAAAATTTCTGTTAGTTCTGTAAATTCTGTTAAGCAGAATTTAGCCTGAGCAGGGTCACTGAGGTGGGTGAATTCATACCCTTTATGTTCAATCAGTGCTGCACTGCAACAGGTGGGCTCAACATCTGGATTTAGTGCTATCTGAATAAATATTTTTCAAGAAGAAATATCTGTAGAGGGGGGATTTTTTCCCCCAAATACACAGGATAAAATAGTTTTGAAAACTTTGTTTAGGTAAAATATTTGTCAGTTAGGAAATGTATGTTTTTAAGTGCAACTAAACATTAAGTTCTGGATTTTTCCTTCCTTTTGGGGCCTTAAAAGGAAATCTCAGCTGAATTTCTTATTTCTTACTGATGAATATACCATACAGCTTTCATGAACTTCCTGGGGAAATGTCTTTCTTATTTCTAATGACACATAGGTCTGTTCACGTTTTCTTTCTCCACTAACTGTAACATTTAAAATGCAGCATTCTCATTGCAAAATTGCAACCTGTCTTCCTTTCAGCATACTTAACCCCAAGGATTTGTGATGATTACATACCAGCTTGAATAATGGACATCTGCTCACCTTGTTTACTTTACTAACAAATGGCTGAGCTCTTTGTTCTGCACAAGCAAAATTGCTCTGTTAAATTTTCTAAACTGCAATTGATTACATCTTTTTGGAACAGTAATAGCACATGGTCCTTATCTGAAAAGACTTGTATTGATCCTTATTAATAAGAGTTATCAGAGTTCCTCAGTATCTTATTCTTAGCTGTGTGCTTCTGGAGTTTTCCTTAAAATATGCTTTGTTGCACTTTAACACGATCTGATGCAGGAACTGAGGTTATAAATTACAGGAAACAAAGGGGACGTGCTCAGCAGAACATAGTGGACAGTTCATAGATTGTTAAATACAAAAGCAAAATGTTTTTTACAAGCAGATTGTAATTCATTCATCATCACAGCTTGCATTATCACCATATGCTAAACTGAGGTTCTTATAATACCTATCTCCTCACACTGGGAAGATATTAAAGACCCTCACTGCTGTTAGTCTGTGACTGATCACTTTAGCCAGTGAGGTATGATTGAGACTCTCCCATGTACTGACCACCATGGGTCCCCAGGGCTCAAAACTCCTGAAAGGCAGAGAATGAGACAGTGAGCTTTGGACAAAATCTGCCCTTGGCAGGAAAGGCCAACCCTGGCACCCAGCAGATTTTTGCAATGTTTCCTCCATTTATTGTTATCATTTTTAAAAGCACAAAGTAAGAAACATAGTAAGAAACATAATTCTGCCATGGTAGTTGGTCATGATGAGGTTTGCCTACTAAGGAAGTTTTTCTACTCATGGGATAAAGCTCCAAATGTATTTGGAGTGTCAAATTGACACAAAACTTCAGTATCACAGGGGGTCTTGTCCCATGCTCTGACACACTGTGAGTAAAACCTTGATCCAATTGAATGGCTCAAATCCCTTTAACTACATTGTTAGAAAGACCTCACTTCACATGTATATTCTCTCTGTAAGAACTTTTTCCTCATGTTGACGCTCTCTTCAGATGCCAGCAGCAAGGAACCAATGTTCTTACCTGCAGAAGTAATGATCACCGTGAAGTGAGTTTCATCTCGTTTTCCAGTCACGTTGTTGAAAGCAAGGCACATGTAATCTATTGTCTTCTGGGACACTTTATCAGATACCACTTCCAGGTGAGGTCCGTATTTGATTACTTGAGTGGTGTTGTCATCCCTTTGAATCCATGAGTAAGTATTTGGTGGATTTGAATCTGCTGAGCAGTCAAACAGGATAGCTTCCCCTATGTCAACTGTGAACACTGCCCCTACATTCAGACCTTTGTCTGACTTAACTCTGAGTCCGTAAGGTCCATCTGCATTGAAAAAGAAAAAAGAAAGCATTGTGGAAAAATTAAAATAGAAGTACACATTTAAACGTTAGGTAAAAGCATATCTTTAAACTAGGAATCTTTAAACTGGACTAATCTTTAGAATGGCTGTCATTAGATTAAATTATTTCAATTAAAAGACTTTCAGTTCAATAATTTGATCTTTACCAGGTTTATCTCAGACTACACCCGCTTAATGCTGATCTAATCACTGTTCAGGGAAACAGCACAGGTCTATGCCTTGTTCAGTACCACAAAAATAATGAGAACTGATCACAGTTGGAAAAGTTGTGAAGTAAAGGAGCAATTTTTCATGTGCATGCTAGACCTTTTCTACTCAAATGCCAAAGTTATTGGTATTTGTAATCTCTCCACATATCTAAAGGTGAATAAAATAGCTTTGAAATACATAAATAGTCACTGTAATACTCAGCAGTATAATAAGTATTTGCACAACTATCCTAGAGGTATACTTAGAGGAGTGGGGTGTGCCTTAGATAACTTCATAAAATGTTTTCAATATATGCCTGCTAAAATAAATTTTAACCTTCCCCTATTTTAGTATGTTTCTACTGCTTTGACATTTAGGTTTCTTTGAAGAGGAAGCCCTTGTACCTTACAAGACAGATTTCTGAATATAGTTAGAAGAGACATATTGTCTAGCTGACATGTGCTCATTACTTAAATAATTGAGTAGCTACGTATTTTTAGGGTAATCTTCATAAGAAAATGGGAAAGAAAACAATATATTTAAGTATAGTAAGTGTTATTCCCATGCTATTTTTAATAGATTAATATATCATTTAGGATCTTTTTTTTTTTTTTTCCCCCCCATCTTTACATGTTAAAACCTATTTTTACAAGGATCTGGGTGTAGAAAATAATGTAGAGAATAAGAAATAAATTTAGTTAAATTAATTTTTAAATTATTTTTTCCAGTCAAAAGAACTGATTATTTTAATGCTGATAATTCCCAAAGGGCTTCCATGTGCAATCAAAACATACAGACCTACCACTGACAGATGCTAAAAGAAGCCAAAACACATTATACAGTATCATAGAAAAGTTCACCGAGGGCAGCATAGCAAGAAGACAGGTAACTCAATATTATGTCCATTTTAATGTGATCAAGTAATATTTCCACGTTCCTATGGTTGTCTGGAAGCATTAAAATAATGTAGCTGGTTTTGAATGTGAAATCTGTTGTCATATGAAGATGAACGCTGGCTTCTTTCAGACTCTATTTCTTATCAGGAAATTCAGGCTAATGTTAGATTTACTGGTAACATGTATCACAGAATCACAGAATCACAGAATTGTCTAGGTTGGAAGAGACCTCCAAGATCACTGAGTCCAACCTCTGACCTAACACGAACAAGTCCTTCACTAAACCATATCACTAAGCTCTACATCTAAACGTCTTTTAAAGACCTCCAGGGACGGTGACTCAACCACTTCCCTGGGCAGCCCACTTCAATGTCTAACATCCCTTTCGGTAAAGAAGTTCTTCCCAATATCCAACCTAAACCTCCCCTGGCGCAACTTTAGCCCATTCCCCCTTGTCCTGTATGCTTCTATTTATTCTCTGCCTTGTTTTATGAGAGTGGCCGCTTCAAGAGCATATAGCAAGCTGCACACAGGCTGTTTCAGGTGTGCTTTTGTGGTTTTCTTTCCCTATTTGTGGAGGTTTAGGAAAGAGAATGGACACTATGACACCACAACCTGAATTTTTTCAATTTTTAACTATATCTTCATATTTTACAACTTACAGTTGTCAAGAAGTCTATTTTTTCTACTTATGTCTTAGTGGTAAGATTTTTGCAGTCTCATTTTAAGGAAGACCCAGCATCGTGTGTGATATTTTGTTGGGCCATATAATACAGATCCACATCAGAATGAATTAGCTCTGCTCTGACCTACACCACAGGTGCCACGGAGAAGAACCAAGGCATTTCAAAAAATCTAGCATCTGAGATGAAGGGCTCCTTGTTCACAGGCTCCATAACTCCCGAGTCATTTGCTTTACTGTACCCAAGCGTCACTTCACACTATGATAAATACTTCTGGAAAGTGCAAACCTGTCACCATTACTTTAGTGTGGCTGAGTGCACCCCGACTGAAGATTTCTGTGTGTGTGGTGCCCAGTCACCACACTGGGCACCGCACACCGGGACTCGCCCCTTGCTTTTTGTATGGGAAAGGAGTGGGACATACAGAACTTTGACTTTTTCATAAACAAAACTAAAACCCCTCACGTTATTTATAGGAGGGAGTATACTTTTTTTTACTTTTCACAGTGATTCAGTGATTCCTCCTATCTGACCTTTCCGCTATTAGCTTTTATTTTCACCGATAATATAACCTTTGGCATATGTAAACAGATATTAATGGTAAGAATAGCTGACAGGCCTCTCTGCTCCCTCCCTATAGTGGGAGACTACTGCAGTCTGCAAAAGAATCAGGACTGAGTTCTGCTTTTGTACCAGTGCCATAGCAGTGCAGCGCACACAGCTGGCACTAACGCAGGACCACACTTTGGTATGAAAGCTGCAAATCAAAAGAAACAATGATTATAAACTCTGACAACTGCTGTTGCAAAAACAAACAAACAAACAAACAAATGAAATATTCAAATATTGTCAAAGTCTGAAAAACAGATTCACCTCAGTGAAGTCCATCCTTGAAGAAGTTACCATCAGATAATCCTTCAGAGTTTGGATCAGACAGTTGCCTCTCCTGGACTTTGCATACATCACTGTGATCCCTAAAGACTAGGTAGCTGAGGAGCATATGCAGCTTCAAATATGATTCTGATAAGCAAATAATCAGCATTCTCCTTTCTGAGACTAAATATTGTGGTGTAAATGCCTGAAGTAACTAGGAAAATAAAACTAACATTCACACTTTTAAGGAAAAGGTACAGCATTGAAGAGGCTTTCAGGGTAGGGCATAACTGCATTATCTGAGCATTCCCTAGGCTCCCAACCTTAGATGCTATCGTGCTGGGGAAACTTGGTGTGCTAGCTCTAAGGAACACCACGGAGCGTAGAGTGGAGTGGAGACACCACGGCTAGGCTCTGTAATCAGGTGGGGCCTCGATTGTTCTTGTGCACAAAGCTGCACTTTTTGCCACCCTAAGCCAAAGACCTGTCATGTTTTGACAAATGCTGTACCCTAGTGTAGTTTTTGCTCATTATAATATCATTATAATACCAAAACACACCTCCATCCCAAAAGCTACCCGCCTCCAAGGTGTGACCACCCCTCACTGAGCATGCGCTCTGAATTTCTCGGAGCCTATTACTTTAAACGGAAACGGGAAAACTTTACACCAATCATAACTAAGATATGCTTGACTAGAGCCACTCAAGCTCCACCTAAAAGATAGAAAATAATATAAATTGGCCCAAGAGAGAGGGGATGTTAGGGAAGATACCATCGTCAGGGGAGATACCATCCCAAGGACATACAACATCCTTAGGACCTCCTGACTCCTGGGATCAGTCGACGGGCTGAGCCTCTCTTCCCCCCCCATTGGGACGCCTTTGGGTGAGATCTGAATATTTGCTTATAAATCTCTATAGAGTCTTTGATCCTTTTAACGCTTTTATTTCTAGGCTGTGCACCTATAACACCTGTAACACCTAGAACACCTGTAACACCTAGAACACCTAGAACCCGCACCTAGAACCCGCACCTAGAACCCGCACCTAGAACCCGCACCTAGAACCCGCACCTAGAACCCACACCTAGAACCCGCACCTAGAACCCACACCTAGAACCCGCACCTAGAACCCACACCTAGAACCCACACCTAGAACCCGCACCTAGAACCCACACCTAGAACCCACACCTAGAACCCACACCTAGAACCCACACCTAGAACCCGCACCTAGAACACCTGTAACACCTGTGTATTTCATGCATACTAGCTTGCTTTTGCAGATAGTCACTATCACCGGCAATCCAAAAGAACCTGATTATCTGTTGCTGTAATAAACCATACTTGATTGCATTGTGATAGCTCTCATTAATGCAACTAGGGTGAGGGTGGTTATCCGTGATAGTTCAGTGTTCTGAATCTAACCAGACCCCCAGACGGTTAATGCATTGTTGGTGAATGTCTGAATGGACCCCCAGGTGGTTAATACGTTTTTGGTGAATGTCTGAGCGGACCCCCAGTTTTGGTGAATGTCCGACTGGTTCAGTACTCTGAATCCAACCGGGCCCGTAACGGTTAATCAGCTACACCCCTTTAACGCGACAAATATATTCTGGCTTCTGGAAGTCCAAAGGAATGAAATCCCTCTCGATTTATTAACTTCAACTCTATCACAGCAATACAGCTGTTCCTGTTGCAGCCTCCATGACAACAGTTTCTTCTTCTTGTCTTGAAATAACTTTTTTTTTTCTGGATCAAGCTACTGCAATAGCAATTGTTCTGTGGTGCATTATCATAACGGAGAAGTGGGAAAATATTAATGAGCAATGAAGAACAAAAACAACTTTTGATTCTCAGTAAAAACAAAACAAAGCAAAACAAACCAAACCATAATGCCTGCCTTCATGGATCACCCAGTTCTACTTCTTTCCTGTTTCATTCTCAACAGAAACAAGCCTCTCATCTCAGTGCAGCTAGTTAACTAAATGACTTGTAAAATAATAAATCACCTGTTCTGGGCAACAATTTACTGCTCTGTGGGAATATTTCCAATTGCTCCTATATCCATGAGACTGTTGTAGTTTCTAAGCAGATGGCAGGTATTTACTGTGAGTGACCTTTTTTTTTATCACTTACAGTAACTCCCCCGCAGCAATGACATATGGCACATGGGGATCCTGGGGCCTATCCCAGAGTGTTATTGACAACTGCTGGGTGGAAGACAAACCACCTCTGCAGGCAGAGGTTGGACGGGATTATGCAACTTGGTATAGCTCAGGAAGGAAGGCCCCAATTCCCATCACAAATTTGGATGTAGATTGTACTGCAAGCATTGTAGCCTTTCAGTATTGCATTATTTTCTCTTTATATATATGTATATTTCATATTTTAAGTTACACACAAAGAAAGCCCTTGATTCTGATGAAACAAAAAGTGTATTCTGAAAATATAACTATTTATATGATAAGAATGGACTGAACAGACAGTGCCACAGATTAATACAGCAGTCAGAAAGGTGGCAATGGTGCATTTGCAGCTTGCTTAGAGGTCATTTAAATAAACATCTTAAAAGAACACCATTACAAACCCTTAAAAATATTTCATAGCAGTGTCCTGCAAGCAATGATGGCCAAACGTGAGGCTATCATAGCCTGCTCTTCATGGCCTATTACAACTTTTATTTTGTGATGTTACTCATCTATTTTAGATCCTGATGTCTGTGTATGTAGCCACAGACACTTAAATGATAACTTTTGACTGAAGAGGTTACTCACATGACTAGCTAAGCAGTTGAGTATTGACAGGATCATGAAATTGGGTTACCAGATGTTCAGAACAGGAATGTCCAGGTGGGCAGTGTTCTTATCATCACAACTATGGTTTACAATTAGCTTGTTGAAAAATTATCTTTCACAGAGATGAGGTGCATTGAAGAATAAGGTATATTTGCAAAAAGACTTATTTTCTTTTATCAAGCTAATATGTCTGAAAAAAATATAGCTGGGTTTCCGGTACAGAAATATCTCATTGTATAAAACAGACAGTTTCAAAATATGCAGAAGATGGGCACTCTTTCTGGGCTTCAGCTTTTCCTTAATTGTAGACTAATTGTAAAGACTTCCTAATAATCTCATTTCACTTACAGTAAACCATTACAGTTTCCACAGCTGCTGCTTCTTGGAGAACCTATGCAAATCAACAGTAACAGCAACAAAATAATAAATGAATTTGAACTGAAACCTAAAGTGTCTCTGAACTTTGTAAGGATCAGTATGGGATCTTAAATGGCACAAAAGAAACCTTGGGACTGTAGGACTGAAAAGGATGTTTTGTACCACTGAGGTCAGCCTTCCACTACAGTAAACTCTCACAGTACTAAATCCCATTCATACATTTGTCAGTCCATGGCAATAGCAACGTGCACAGCTCTTGCAGAACCTCCTTACTCCAACAGCTAGAAAACATCTAGATGGAATTTCCTCCTAACTTCTAAACTAAATCTCCCCTCTTTTAGTTTAAAACCATTCTAACTTATTCTATCACCACACCCCCTGACAAAGAGTCCCTCCAGCTTTCGTGTTTGTCCCCTTTAGGTACTGGCAGGCCACATAAGGTCTCTCTGAAGCTTTCTCTTCTCCAGGCTAAACATTCCCAACTCCCTCAGCCTGTCTTCATAGGAGAGGTGCTCCAGCCCCCTGGTTACCCTTGTGGCCCTCCTCTGGACTCTTTCTAATAGGTCCTACAAACAAGCTTATTTTGAATGCAAGCTCACATATAATGTTGACTCAATAGTTTTCTGCCTCTCTTCCATAGTTAGAGGCACTCTTTCCAGCCAGATCAAACAAAGGTAATTATGAATACAAAGGTAATTATGAATATTTCATATACTCACAATATATGGTTGGTGCAATTTGCTCACTTTCCATTGCACTGACAGGGTTGGATACCAAACAGCTGTAATTCCCAATGTCCTCTTTTACAACAGGAACAATTAGAAGTGTAGCATTGTTTGATGAAAAGATATAGTTAGGGCCAGCATGTAGAGGCTTCCCATTTTTCATCCACTGGTAAACTACCCTCGTGCCTTTTCCCACGGTACATTTTAATGTGATATTCCCCACGTACTCCACTACCCCAGAAGATGGCTCAGTCTGCACAATCGGCTGCGTGACAGGAACTATAAAATAAAGAGATATGAAGAGTTATAAAAGTGACTAGCCAGTACATTATAGTCCTCACTGCTAAGACAACGCAAACACCAGTCATCATCCTCGCCAGAAAGTATTGATATTTCAAATTGTATTTGTTAAATATGGTTAAAGGTTGAAAAAAAGAATGTCATACTCTCAGCTGGTGACTGTAAGAATTATTCCAGTACTTAAACAAAACTGGGCTATTTATATTACTGGTTATGTGACAAAGGCTGCAGTTGGGTATACTGGGGTCTCCAGCTCTGGTCCCATAAGCAAATCCCTGTGGCCACAGCAAAGAAAAGAGCGCAAAGGATGACATTGCCCACAGTAAGTGACTTCCCCAACAGTGCTGCCTGCAGCTTGGCTGGCACCAGGACCCACTGAAACACACTGGCAGCCCAGTTGTGAGGATGACTGCAAACTGGCATGGGCGTGGGAGTGAAATGGCAGCTGCAACTTTATCACGTTAACGTCTCATTCATTTAATTGTTTCAAGCCAAACAGCTATAGTGCTCCCTCCGTATAATCCATAAACTGCAGTTCATTGAAAATCGATATGTCCTTATCACTGATAGCATAATGGAGCCTTATGAAATAGTATTTCATATATTTGTCATATTATTTATTGGTTTCTAGATTCCTTAAATGTTTTACTTATGATCAAGAAATATTAGTCAGTACATTAGCTTGTTTAAAGATGACTTATTGCAGCATTCCCTCCAGCAGAAGTGGAAAATAACATAACAATAATTGGCATTTATTCATGCACAGTTGGTTTGAATAATGCACTATCATAACTGGATTCCAAGAACCAGTACTTGAACACTACAGAAATTTTACTCTCAAAATGAAGTTGTTATGTTTTATGAACTTACCATCAACAGCTACTTGAATCTTTTCACTGGCAGCTATTGTTCCATTTCCACGGACATTGACTTTTACAATATAGTTGCCCTCATCACTGATACGTAATGGATTGATCATCAAAGATGCATTAGGTGGTATGAGGGTAAACTTGTGCTGATATTCCAGGTCTGGTACTACTGTCTGGTTTACAGAGCCAAGCAAGTATTTTGGATTACTTTGAGGCCTCTCAAACAGCCAAATTATTTGGATTTCACAAGCTGTAGTGTTGAAATTGTAGTCAACAGTAAGCTGGAGAGGTTGCCCCTCAATACCATGGATAGTATGAGATGGTACTGTCAGCTTCAAGGCAGAACAAATACCTGCATAAAAATGAAAACCAAACAAATAAACAAACCCAAAACACAAATGGGAACACTGGAAGAAACAAATGAAAAATTCTCACAGAGAAAAAATTCTCAGAGATGAAAACTTTTTTTAAATTTTTTTCTTTTTCTTTATGGTTATGATTCAGATTTCAAGTAAGAAATGGAAAAACTCTCCTTCACTTCAGTGGAGTAGGATCTAGTTGTAGAGCTCCAGCTTTGAAATACAGGAAAAGCCAAAGCTGGAAGGATATTTATGATTTCTGGTTAATTTATTTTTTTCAGTTTTTGCAAGTTTGACGAAAATGGAGAAAGATGAATTTACCTTAATGTTTAAAATCCTTTTACTTCCTTATACTTTCAATTTGCAGAGCTCCTATTGTCTAATAGTCTTCAACTGCAAACTCAATTCTGAGGATTTTTTTGTGTGTGTGTTTATTCAGGGAGAACTTTGTTACTGTCACTTTGCCAGTTATACTGAGAAATCAATGAAAAATCTAAGAAGGCCCGCTTTCACAGATTAGTGTGATTAAAATGACAGCAATTAGTCATCACTGTTGTCTGTACTGTACCCTTCAGACTAAATTCAAGAAAGATTACTAATCTTGTAAGAAAAAGCAAGAATTAAGGTTTTCCGTTGATATGCGCAAAAGCAAAATTTCCAGTCCCCTGATGTCCTCCAAGAGCACTGCCTCCTTCAGGGTGCAAAACAGCCACCCACCCTTCAGTTAATCACCAGCTTTCCCAGGCTTTATTTTAGAACCATTTTTCATCGTGTCATTCTCATGAAGATTTACAAAACATTATTAAAACTTTGCCCTTAGGACTGTGTGATCAATTTCCATGCGAACTTTTCCACGGTACTTTCAAGCACAACAATGGTGTGAAGCATTGCCATTAACGAATTGATTTCCCAACACCATTATAATTGATAAGACTTCACAGATGAGGAATTGAAGCACCGAGAAAAATAGCAGCAAAAATGTCCACTAATTTTGGATCATCAATTTGAAATATTAATGACTGTGTTTTTCAAAGCACACACAAACAGCTTTTAATATGTTTGAGATGTAACTCCTATTGACTTCAGTTGCATCTTTGAGAGATCAGTAATAACATGTTGATAAATCTGGTTTAAGTAATCTGTCCACCACTGTGTAGGAATGTGCTGGAAAGAGAACGAATGTGCTTCCCAAGGACATACGTTGTGCTCACACCGTGCACCAGTTATTCTGAATATCTGTAACCAGGTAACTCTCCTGCTGCAGTACAAGCACCCTCCACCTGGACGGTATCATTGATATAATTTCCTCAGTTAGATAACAGGAAAATATAAAAATATCAATTCAGGTGAACAACATGACATTTGTATATCTTTTGGGATGAGAATCTCCAGATTTCACTTCATGGCTGTTTATGACAAGCTAATAGAGAAAACTAGAGCTGTGTATCAGGGCAGGGACATGAAAAGAGGTTGGGGGCTACAGCTGTAGCTGGGGAGTGTGTAATGCCACTAATTAATGCTAGAGACCCTCTGGAAGGGCATGACAAGCAGCAGAGTGGGGATGTGTGAGAGAGGACTGGCTGGGGGTAGCTGGCAATGTTGTCCATGTGGCCGAAGGTGCTGCAAAAAAAACACCTCTGAGATACTGACTGTATTGCAGGAAAAACACACGTTTGCTAAGAAACCTCTGGTTGTATACCCTCTGTTCAGCAGCTACTGATTTTTATAGTCAATGAAAAAGAGGGCTACAAAGTCTACAAAAAAAACCAACTCATTGTGTAGCTGGCTCCCCTTTTCAGAAAGCTGAACTCAACTTCACTCAGCTTTGGAAGATGGCTCACAGCATTTCTGAAGGTATGGCAGGGAAACCAAAGGAAAACAGCTTGGTGCAGCTACAGGGTAGAAAGCTATGGGGTAGAAAGCATATAGCTACATGAAGATGTCGAAATCCCTTAGCAGAAAGACTCACAAACCCACTTTCTCAGGGGCTAAAGAGAAAGCAGGCAGAGGATTTCGAGTTGCACAGACACTGAGGTGGAAAGTACATTAGAGGGTCAGCTGAGACGGGAGGAGAATGGGACAAAAAGGGAGGAAAAGTGTAGAAAAGATGCAGAAAGACTTAAGTGGAGGATGCACAGGAGCATGTTAAACACATGCTTAGCTTTTTCCAGATCATAAACCTGAAAGAGCTGAAGTACAGGAATTGAAGCCTCTTGTACTACTTCTTTTAAATATATTTGTGGCCTGATTTTTTTTTTTTTAAATGTTGCTCAGCTCTTAGGACTAGCTAGATTCTAGTTATTGGGAGATGAGTTTTGCTGGTTATTGTAACATTTAACAGAAGTGATTTCCCTTCCTGCAAACCTTACAATGCAAATCAAACTGCTGCTATCCATTTAAGAGAATAATTCCTCAATAATAACATCCTTCACAAAATATTTAATGTTGAAAATACATTACATATAACCAACTAATACACCTCATTTTTTTTTTTTTTTTAATCTCTTTGAATGAAGTAAGAAAGATCTCTCACAGATACTGGGAAATCTGTAAATGGTCAATTAAGAGATCTGGCCATACCCTTCCTCACTAAATGCATGACACTGCTCACTTTTGGGGTTTATCTAGCTGCCAGTAAGTGATCGTGCTGTAGGATAAGAAGCCAGTAACAGCTGCAGTGGTAATCATAAAATATGTATTACCATTGATACTTCTCACAGATCTGTGCAAAAAAGGAGCAAGAAACAAACAGGTCCAGTGAGCAGGATAACTGGGGACACCAGTACAAAAGCTATCACCATCACAGAAGAAAATACAGAGAACTGCATCTGGAAATTTTTATTTCTTCTTGGTTAAAAATGTGGGAATAGAAACCTTAAAAAGTGTTCAGCCTGGATGCATGTAATTCATGGGGAAAAGCAGCTCCATTTAACACTATGAGCTCAGTTAGGAAATTCTTTTAGCAAAGATGGGTGAAGGTGAGGGAAGAAGCCCTGTTTCCCCCTTGCCAGCTATCCTGTCATTCATCAGGGAGTGGTTTTAGGTGATTTCAGGCTTTGCTGTCCCCTCTGGCTCTGCTGGGGTGGCTTCACAGGGAGCCATGGGCAGGTGGGAGCTCCCCACGGCTGGCAGGCTGAGCCTGAGGCTCAGAGGTGTCACTGGGCAATGGCCTTCTGTCAAAGGGCCTTACGGGAGCACTGCTGGGGGCTCCTACTTTAACGAAGATCAAATCTTTTGCAATCTGGAATATTGGACTAATTTCCTATGTTTTCATTTTTAGTTAAATTTAAACTGAAGACTTATGACTAAACCTTGAATTAATGTTAATAGTAAAAACAAGTTGATGTCCTTTTACGTCTTTCTCACCAAGCACAAATTCCATGTAACTCAAACTTATTCCTATAGTTTTCTAAATATGCTACAACACACATTTTTCAGAGAGGATGGAATTCCCCAAAACAGGTTCTGTTTTACTCATAAGCCAAGTGGGTTGTACAAAAATGACCTCCATTTGGAGCCCAGTGTTTTGCTTCCATCTCACCCTGCTGTCATCAGTATTAGCAAGCACAACAGTATCATTATTGACACAAAACAAGGACTGCAGCTTTAGTTTAAATAAAAAACTATGACATAACTTTTGAGTTTACTGCGTAAACTGAAACCTGCTTAGCGAGGTTTTATTATTCTCTGAATTTAACATGCCCATCTCCTTGTCACAGTGAGTTTGGATTCTCAACTAAGTTTTACTTAAGTGTTCATTTAGCTCCCAAGCTCTCCAAAAACCCTCAACTTGGTGTAAGATGTCATCAGGTATGCGGCAATAGTTTTGACACTTTTTGCAAATAAGTTCATTTGTGGAAAAAAAAAAAAAAGAGTGAGAGAGATATAATGGACCAGGAAATCTGCTACTCCTCTACCCCTTATTTCTCAGGAATGCTCTTCCCAAGGTTGGCATTTTTGTCCAAGAACAAGTTCTACTGAGCTTCATTACTTGACTTGATTCTGCCCTCTGAGGTCAATGTCTTCAGTGGTCTTTGTGTCATGCCCCCACTGCATTGGATTTTTGTCGTTACTAAAAGTACAAGGTACCCATTTCCCATAGGAGGAGAGGTTTATACCTGAGTAAGACTATCAGAAGAAACTTGCTAGTGAACAACAATGTACTCCAAAGCATTCTGTTTGCATGCCAATATCTCTTGCAGAATTTTAATCAGAAATGTCCAACAAAGTAGTAATGTAGATAAAGAAGTGAATATTCACCATATTCTTATCGAAAGGGTTTTTCAGTTTTAAAGAAGTCTGATACTCTTCATAAGAAAGTGCAATTGTTAAGAAGCCAAAGCTCTCGACAAAGTGTTTAGCTCAAAATCAAGGAAACTAGGTGACCGTATATGAACTTAGTGAAAAAAAAGAAAAAAGAAAAAGAAAAAAGAAAAAAGAAAAAAGAAAAAGAAAAAGAAAAAAGAAAAAAGAAAAAAGAAAAAATCGCCCATATTAGTAAATTAGTAAAGGACATATTACATTTGTAATATATATTACCTCTGGTGATATTTACAAAAACAATTAAATACAGAGATTTAAATTACAAGATTTTGCAGAAATACGACTTTATCTAACATTTGACCACAGGATCTTCCTGTAAAAGGGCACAGAACATCTGTTTTTTATCAAGTGCACAGATAGCAAATGTACAATTATGAAAACTGTATCCAAATATTGAATAAATGTAATGCAATGAATGTCTTGAATAAATGCAAGACATTCTTCAGCTGACTGAAAGCTTAATTTAGTTTTAGTACCAAGTACATTTAAATATTATATATAAATTTTAGGTATTAACTACAAGTCATCATAATAAACAGGAAAATACCATATCAGCTCTGTCTGAATATTATAAAATTATAAAGAGATGTGTAACATCTCTGTAAACTTTGGTTCAGAACCTGTCAAGCCTTACTTGATAAAAAGAATGCACTTTGTATATCTTACTTAATAAAACATGACAATATATTTTTCATCAATGTGCATGTTTTATTTACGTATTATGTATAGCACTATTTTTTGTCAGTTTCTAAAAGTTTTAGCTTAATTCATGAAACAGAGTAACATGATCTGATTAAAAGCTTTTAGGCTACGTTCTTAAAATAATACATCTGACAATATAATAGAAATATCTTCAAATTTATGAGTATAAAAGCAAGCCACACTTCCACAACGAAAATCAAATATAATTCATATGGTTTCTTACCTACAAGCAGAAAATATATTTTGCACTGTAAGTCACAAAATAAGTTGGCTAAAGGGCTCCATGAAAGCATCCTGCCCCATACAAACACCACCTTCTTCTCAGTGCTAACTCTGAGCTTGGACCAGCAGCTGCAGGTTTATTTGCAAGGAAAATCAGCAATGAGTTAACAGGCCCTATCCTGTCCCCAGCCCTGTGTGATTTGAATATGTGTATACAAAGAACAAAGGGAGTGGAACACCTGTTAGATGAGCACCCATCTTCGTTGCCTCTGACTTTATCATAACCCTTCCCCAGGAGTCACAGTAAATATGACAGAGAATGTAATAAATGAGGTGCAGAATACAAAGTACGCCAAATTAATAAAAGTAAGTGAACGCACTGAATGTACAAGTATTAACATCCTTCAGCTATACTGTTTCATAAAAATATTATGCTGCTAGGTAGCTCTTCTTATTTCAAATTAGAATTAGTATTCAGGTCTTTCTTTCTTTCTTTCTTTCTTTCTTTCTTTCTTTCTTTCTCTCTCTCTCTCTCTCTCTCTCTCTCTCTCTCTCTGATAAGATTTTTTTCCAATGATAGCCTCCTCTTTTCTGTTACAAAAAATACAAAAAAGCTATTGCAACACCATGCCTAGCATTTTCTAGCATTTTTAGCATTTCTAGCATTTTCTAGCCAAAAGTTTTTGTTTTTTTCTTTTTTCTTTTTTCTTTAACATAAGTGAAATAGAGTGATGATTTTGTTGCCTTTCTCTGAACGACATGTAATGTGAAGTGCCCATCAGGAGTCTGCTAACAGAATCCTGCGGCTAGAGTGGACAACTTACTAGAGTTGTTGAGTTAGCTGCTGATTACTGTTTATTCTGCATGAACCTACATCAGTTTAATATTAATACTAATGTATGACCTGGATTCTGTCCAAGGCTGTCACTCACTGTACAAATCTAATCAGCGGCAAACCTGGAACCCTCCCACAGTTGCATGAGCAGTAATAGTTTGCAACAGCAAATATTTGCATCGACAGAGGTGGTTTATCCATAGAAAAACACACTTTAAGTTTTCCCTATACAGTACTTAGGCTGTTATGGATTAATAAATACTAGGCTTGGCTGTACCCTGCCTCATGCAGTGGATTGCTTCTGCTTCTCAGTGGGTGCCTGTGCTGGTGTTAGGAGCAGGGGGTCTGCAAGCTGCTAAGCCTCCAGCAGCAAGACTGAACACTCAATGTGTATTTCAGTTAAAGGAAGGTGAAAATACCCAGAGCCTTCCAGAATTTTTAGCAGCTCCATATAATAAAATGTAAGAAACAAGAGGGTTATTTCAGGTTACCAGAAACATAGGTAGAGTGAGTGGTACCACCAGAAATAATGTCATCACCTGACACACGCCTGCAGATTAAGAGGATTTTGTGCATATTCCCAAAGGCTTCAGGTGCCCACTGCCCTGCTCCTCGCAAATGCTGTTGTTTGAAACCTGTTTAATACACTTAACTGTAGTCTAGATATATCAAATTGCAACCTTTTATAAAACCTGAGTTAGAAATGATTATCTTCTTGGTTTCAATATGTAATAAAATATTGGTTGTGTGTTCCAGCTAATTTTTCTAACCAAAGTGAATGGGAGCTTTCTCACTGGGATAAAATCGGTATTAGTGTTTTAAATGACCTATGTGGGCAAAGAAAATTAAAAACAAACAAACAACCTCCACCCCCCCCTCTCCCCCCCCTCCATTAGCATAGTTATATTTTTCAAGTAAGTGTGCCCCCTTATTCCAGCATTTGGTTATACTCCCGGTGTCATTAATATGCTGAACTTTTTTACACCAAATAACTCACACTAATAAAACGGAAGCCAAAACCGTACATTCTTTTTTTTCCCATAAAACTCTGGTTTGTGCTGGTTGTTAAATGTCATTGAGACTTACAGTAAATCAAACCTCACTCATTTCTTTTTAATAAAAGACTATTAAAACTGCATGAAAGCAACTTTATTTGTAGCAGCAACATCCTGAACACTTTGAGTGTTTCCGCTAATTTTAGTTATTACTAAGAAATAATTTTCTTGTGGGCTAAGCTTCTCAAGGACCTTCTACAGAAATAATTATGGATGATATTCTGAAAGGTAGCCAGAACTAAAGAATTCTTGCCAGACAAGGCTGGAAAGGGTGGCAAAGTTCACTCCGTGGCTCTGTCAGCTCTGGCAGAGCAGCACCTGACATACTCTGCAGTTGGACAGATGGGGGGGGTAAACACGGGGCGTAAGAAATGTATGCTGAGCTGGTCTGTGTGCGGACTCCAGTCATCCCCAAAAGGATGAGCGGTCTTTTCTGCAGCTATGTGTATATAGCTGCTATGTCTATATAGGTGCTTTCTGCAGCATGTCACAGTGCTTGCACTGGTAGCATAATTATTGAGTATGTCATCTCCAGTTAAGCAAGGATGATAAATTTTACCTTTTTGAATAATGACACAAAATTGATTTATAATGTAATTATTTTTTAATTTGTTCTATGTATCTCAACTAAGTACAGAGACACACAGGCCTGTTCTGGCCATGCAGAACTGCACCATCACTGGAGCAGGCCTGATGCACTTGTCTCTGCATAACGTCTGAGATGATCTGAGGCAAACTGAAAGCTGTAGTTCTCTAAGTGGATTTGCCAGCCTGTCCTTTTACACAGTGCCTCATTTTGTCTTCTCAGAGAATGGATTTTAAGGCCTAAACAGGCCGACATTAAGTTTACAGCGGGGCACTTTGGCCAGCAGGGAACCAACACGGCTTCCGAGGGACCGCGCTAGCAGGGCACGGGGGCGAAGGGCTCCAGGCACAAATCGCTTCTTGGCGACCCTTCGCGGAGCCCCCGCCTCAAACCCCTCGAGCCGGGCTCCGCAGAGCGGCTCCCGCGGGCACAGCGCTGCCTGGCACCGGGGGGCAGCTCCACACCGGGGCACCTCCACAGGGGGGCCGCCCACCGAGAGCCGCCCCCTCGGGCACGGCTGAGGCGCCCCCCCCCCCGGCGGCCTCTCCCTCAGCGCCGCGCTCCGCCCTTGGCCCCGCTCCCTCCCTGCCGGCCCGGCCGTGCCGCGGCGCTGACGGGACTTGTAGTTCCCCGGCCCCCGCCCTGCCCAGCGCCGAGCCCGGCTCCGCCGCCCGAGGACTGCAGGTCCCAGGGAGCAGCGGGCGGGCGCGGTCAGGTGGCGCCCAACATGGCTCCGCCGTGAGCCTGCTGCCGTGAGGGGGCTGCGGCCGTGCGGGGCTGCCGGGGCGGCGCCATGCAGAAGATCAAGTCGCTGATGGCCCGGCAGGTGAGGCAGCGGGGCCGGGCGGGGTGCCCTGCGTGAGGTGTGGCTGTAGGGGCGCCGGGCCGTGGCGCTGTAATATGGCCAGGCGGCTGTGCCCGCCGAGCGGCCGTCCCCAGGGGTTGTGTCGGGGTGTGCGGCTCGGGAGTGTTCACAGGGCGGTGTCCGAGTCGCTCAGTTGCACGGAGCGTCGTTAAGCGAAGCCTGTTTGCCCCGTGTCTGGGTTTCAGAGCTTAAAAAGTGCCTTAAGCACCGCCCGCCAGCTCATCGCCTGCCCCAGGTGGTTGTAGGAGGCGGTGGGAGAGCCAGGAGCTGAACTTTGGTTCCCAGCGCTGTCCCCAGAGCACGGGCAGGAGGCAGGGTTTAAAATGGAGACCGGCATGGACGCCGAATTCCCCAAATAGCATTTTGGGCCCTGTACCATTACATTGCTATAGATGGGCAATGAGATTTTGGCTGGGGCACTGTTTAGAGCCTTCTTTTACGTTGTACATCCCCTGTTGTCAGGAGTCAGCCCAGCAGTGAGCGAGCAGACCTCGGCCCCACCTAATGGGAGCTGTTGGAAGCCCGCCCGGTGTGCAAATGGTGTGGTCTGAAACTAATACAATTTAGGCAATTCTCAGCCTTTGGGAGGGATAAATTCCCACCCAGCATTCAATAAGTGCAACTTTTTGCTGCTGATGGAAATAAGCTGCCTTCAATGCAAAGTTTTGAGGTGGTTGTGGAAGATTTTGTGTGGAGTAGGAGAAGCCACAGCAGTTGCTTTTGGTTGTTTGTTACCTTGAATTTCAGATTCACAGCCTTTGGGGGCAGTAACTGGGAAGGGAGGGTGTTTTCAAACCGTGCCCAAGAGAATCTGAGAACCAAAACCAGAATGAAGAGGTTTTGCATATGGGGAAAATGAAACAACTGTGAAGTGACGTAGCAACCATTCACATGATGAATTTGTAAAACACTGTCAGAGGATAAAAGCACACTTCTTTCAATGTGAGCTCACTCACAATTGCATGGCTCCTTTCAGTTCAGAGAAAGCATTGGTACCCAGGGGGTGTGAAAGGGGCTTAGAAACACTGTCATTGGTGTCAACTGGGGAGAATTTGAGAGAAATCTGACTATGACTCAGGGCTCATGTGAACTGCCAGGGGGTCAAGGGAAGGGTAGAGTCAGAGCCACATCTGAAACTTGAACTTTTAAGTTCACTTCTGCTTAGAAAGATAGCAGAGAATGTGCTAAGAAAAATGTTCTGTGATACTGCTTCATAAAATGCATATCATGTTGAACAAACATGTACTCATCTGGTTACTTGATGCTTCCTGTACGAAGCTTGTCTAATAGAGTGTATTCTATTTATGTGGCTTTGTGGGTTTTAAAGAATAATAATGATATAAAAGAGCTAATGTTGGTTATGCATCTTTTTTTTCAGCTTGGTTATGTGTACAGAAAATGATTCCTAATAGTTTTATACGGTAAATTGAGAAATCTTCCAACTTAGAAAAATATTATAGTTATGCAGCAGGGTAGGTAGCACTTGCCTTGAATTTGATTGATTGCATTAATCCATTAAGTTTGTGGAACAAAAAGCGTTGTGTTTTTTGGACACACTTGCATTTTTAAACATTTGGAAGTTGGCAGGAAGATGTAAGTGGACTTTGTTAAGAGGATATTAGTGAACTCTCCTAAAAAGGTACTTACTGCATAAAGCTGGAAGTGCATAGATGTTTAAGGAATATAATTTACATACCAGTGGCCTCAAGGTTTTATAGAATAAAGGCTTAGCCTTCCAGACTTATGTCAGTGTAA